CCCAATCCTGAAATAATTTCTCTGCATGTAGTAGTGCACAGTATTTCAGATTGAGCATATTACTTTTGAATACAATGTTGCAATCTGTAGGTTATGCTAAGGTAACCTTTTTCAGTACACCCCAGGCATGTATTTGCCTCCTTTGCTCTGCAGTGTGAAAGTGCTACTTGTGCTTCGGGCATCGTTCTTGCAAGTACAACTCACCAGTCCATAAAGGCAGTTTGCAAGGCATGTCATCTTGTTTAATGTTTGCAGCCCTCTGATCATGTTGTTACAGTGGTTTTTGCCTTGTGCTTCTGGTGTAAACTGTTTGCATGTGACAGTTAATAAAGATTTTGTCCTTAGTTAGCCTATTCTATATTGACCAAGGTTTGGCAAAGGACAGTTCACAGTAAGAAATGAAAGTGTGTCAGATTAAGCAAGAGAATGGCACTTGTGTGTGTGCACAGCTTTTCAGGAAATAAGATTTACATACTAAAGGAACAAATTACCATTCTGGGTTTGTCATTGTCTGTCTCTTCTTGGGGAATTTTTCCAGACTGCAAAAGGAATTAAACCTCTCTCAGATAAAAATGGCAAATCATGTACAACTGACTTACCTAATTCCTTCCCCTGCTGTCATTTGATCACATTATACCTCTTGCTTGTGTTCCACCCCAGAACAGACACTTCTTAGTAGGACTTAAAAAATAAATACTTGTGTACCTCCATGCTGAAAATATTATGCTGCTGAATGGCACAAAGGGAATTTCTTTACATTCTCAGAGACTGGGAGGTGTGAAGGAAATGGTTAGTTCATAGTTCAGTAGAGGGCAGAGGTGGTGTGAGGAGGGGAATAATGAGAGGTCAGTGTCCCTCAAAGATCTGGAAAAGGAAATTAGAGTGGAAACACTCAGAGTAACTGTGACAGGAGTTGAGAAGCAACCTGCTGCTTTGATAGATGTTTGGAGTATTACCTTCCAGACAGAGGCAGCTATTTAAAATTTGTCCTTTGACTTTCTGGCAAGTATGTGATCTCATGCTCATTCACGTACTTGGAGTGTTTTGCAATGCTAGGGTTGCAAGCATTTGAGACTATTTTCCTCTTCCTGCCTATTTCTAAGAATGTGACATTTTCCCTTTTGATGTCCCCACTGGAGTTTGGTAGCAATTCCTGTTAACACTGCAAAAGTTTTGTGGGTTGTGCTTTTGCCTTTAGGTGAGGCTAATTTTTTAAGGGAAACGCAACACTCCTTCACAAATGCGCAGGGACGGAGTGTGGTGCTGTAACAGACAGTGCGTGGTTTTCTAATTTTAAGAGAAAGCACTGATGAGCCTTTTCCTATTAAGGTCCTTATTAGGAAGCATCAACTGAAGAATGATACTGGTAAGATACTTGTTAATGTGCGAAATAAAAAAATAGTATTTGAGTAGAAAGCATCTAGGTAAACTAGAGCAGAACACACAACCACACAGTATTGCTGCAGTCAGCAGTCTTGCAGGATTTAGAAGATTAGATATTTCACAGTTGATGAGAAAATTTGTAGTTCTGTATATGTATAGGTATGTCAAATTATATATATATTATATATAATCAAGTTATAGTACACATAGTTTATATTATTTTGTTACTTATGTTCTAATTTGCTGTGATACCTGGGATTGAGAACAACCTTCTGTAATGAACAGGAGCATTGTAATGAACACTTACACTGCTGTTAAGAGTGTCGTGGCACCTTCCTTTGGGGCAGTGAGCACAGTTTATGTTGACAGGATGCCTTGTTTGGTCTGCTAGCTCCTATAGGGCTTACTGAATTATCACTAACAGAATATTAAATGCATGGTACAATTTGTGTAGCATTGTTCAAACCTCTCCGCATAACCAAGCATGAGAATACTTCTTAATCTGGTCAGTTTTTAAAGTTCTTGTTGATAGAAATTGTTTTTCTGTGGAAGTGTGATTTTTTTCCCCCCATGTTTATTAGGGTCTGTGGGAGAGTAAAGGCAAGGAAGCCTGTTCTAACCCTGATGAATACAGTAGTGATGTGGGCTGCAGGATGGTGACGTTGAAGCTTTGTTTAGACCAGTTCTACTTGGAGAAAGAGGAGAGCATCTCTGTAGGATGATTTAACTATATAAGGGGGAAGAGTAAGGAGCAAAAGATGTGTGAAAGAAATGATGGGAATAGATAGATTAAGAGGAGAAATGAGATTGTGAGGGCTTGAATGAGGGTGAAAGAGGAACATGTTGAATCTGTGCTTTCACCAAATTAGAGGTGAAGCCAAGCAAGAAGGAAAGAATGCAGTTCTGAAGAAGTGAATGTAAATGAGATAAGGGATTGAAGACAAGAGTTGAAGGATGATACAAAGCACAGGCTCAAAAAAGAGAAGATCACATGGAAAAGAAGGAAAGTAAACCTAACCTTGATATTAGTGAAATATTAACCAGACAGACGAGGAAGGGAAGTGGTTGTTGGAGAAAGGGGAAAGGACAAAGGATTCGTCTTGCCCAACCGCAGACATCTACAATGCAATCATTTAAACGAGAGCTGCCTGTCCAGAGCTGTTTTTAGTCAGTGGAGAGAAATAGGCTCTTTTAGGCTGCAATTCAGTTGTCATAGGTCAGGTGGCCACCTCAGGAATCGGGTGCATTTTGCTCTGGAAGTGTTTTTCTCTTCAGTCTTAGAAGTGGATCTACACCTGTAGTGATGGTGTTTACAGCACAAGATGTGCATGTGTGAAGCTAGATGAGCTAGATTAAGCTCCCTCAGGAGGGTAGAGAAAGCAATTGTTGTGGAACAAACTCTTTTTGTATGGCTTTGCAGAAATGAGCATGAGGAATTCTGTAGCAACCTTGTAGGTCAGCACACGGGAATTTGTTCCCGTGTTGTATGACATAAAAGCACATCTGACCCAGCATCCATCTGGCCTGGTATCCAGTGTGCTAAGAGCTCGTGAAATGACTATAGGAAACATGCTGTTCAAGCTCTGAAAGCCATTGGGCTCCCAGAGCTGGAACTGCATCCCCAAACTATAGTCTTTAATAGTCAATAGTGTACTCTTTTCCATGATTTTTTCTGATCCCTTTGGGAATCAGTTCATACTTGCACCACATAAGACATGTCCTGCTAAACTACATGTTGTGTATTAAAAAAAACATAAATGTAAAAGCCTTCCTTTGGATTGCTTTAAGTGGACATCTCTTTGGCCTAAAGTTTCTTAACTAATATACGTTCAGCTATCTTCAATGCCACCCCTTCACATGTGTGTCTTGTATTTTTTATCCCCTTTGGAGAAATCTGTACAGTTGATATATTCCTATGTCCATTTGCTTGGTGTATAAATTTGAGAGATCCCTTTCCTTCACCATGCCAGTGTTTTACTGGCTGAATTATAAATCCCTTGAATTTGCTCCATTCCCATGGTTGTTTAGTTTCGTATATAATTTTTCTAATCTGCCACGGTTTGTGTCTGTAAAAATGTCTGTACTGCCAGAACTAGCCTTTGTTTGAGTGTTTAGAAATGTGTAACAAGTTTTATCCATTTGTCAGCCTGGAAAGTTTCCAGCCTCACTGTCTGTGTAGAGGCTTCCAAGGATTTCATATATACTTAGGGCTGTATTCTGATTTTTGGTAGTATTTTCCTATTGCGTTCAGTGGCAGCAGCACTGGGTTAGAAAGAAGCAAAACACTTAAGAGATGCTGAATCTGTGCTTTTAAAGAAGTGACTTTATGTCTTTGGAAGATCCCTCAAGTCAATCAGTGCTGGCATTTCCTGTTTGTTTTCCCTTCCAGGAGAAGAAGATTTTTCAGATTCCCTGGATGCATGCTGCAAGACATGGGTGGGATGTTGAAAAAGATGCTCCCTTATTCAGAAACTGGGCAATTCACACAGGTATTGGAACTCTCTGCAGCACAGCTTTTCATATTGTTTTCCCTTTTAAAGTTACATTGTCCGTTTTTGTCTTTGCTTTTGCTAATGCAGAGAGTCAAGTTATGTTTCAAGATTTGTGGGAGGCTAAGTGCTTTTTTCAAGGCCTGCAATACTCTCCAGCTTTATTGAAGTGTCATAACTCATTTGCATTGAGGAAGACAGTTAAACTTAATTGATTTAAACATTAACTAGGTTGGGTTCAAAGTGGTCAAGACTAGAGCACGCTCAGCACTTTATAGACTTGCGCCCTTAGGCTTTTTATGCCGTTCTGTGGATTTGAGCCAGACATAATAAAAGATAAATGCTGTGCAAGCTTTTCCACGTTGTTATGGAGTCACATCTGATCTGCAGTGCCCTGGGTCTTTCTTGAGCAGAAACTGTTCATCATGTGTTTTAGCAGTGTGTATGGGATGAGATCACAACACTGTCTTGCAACCTCAGCTGTTGTTTGAATACTTGTCATGGGAACTGAAGGCTGATACCTTAAAGTTAACCTACACTGTTATTAATTTGCCCTAGGCTTTCAGTTACATGTTTTGTGTGCCTAACTTTCTTTTCTTGCTTAGGAAAATACCAGTCAGGAGTAGATAAACCTGATCCAAAGACATGGAAGGCAAACTTCCGTTGTGCTATGAACTCTCTGCCAGACATAGAAGAAGTGAAGGACAAAAGTATAAAAAAAGGAAACAATGCCTTCAGGGTATACCGGATGCTGCCATTATCTGAAAGACCTTCCAAAAAAGGTAGAGGGGAGAGCTTGTTATCATGAAAATGATATTGGGGTATTGTTGTTATTTTTGGGGCCCACAAAATGTGCCAATTCTAGTTCTACTGTGAAGCTGGATCTTTTTATCTGGATGTTCCCCAGGGCTTAGGTACAGCTGTATGAAAAATGAACTACATTCAGTTAGGAGAACAATCTGCTTGGAGAGGGGATCAATGAGATGTGATACCTCCAGGATGGTGATGTGTGTAAATTGTATTAGTTCTGTTAAAGCAAATAGAGTTGTGTTCAGATGTTAGTGCCAGGTCTCCTTCAGTCAAGAAAGACGATTAGGGGAATATTGTAGACCAGTGCATTTAATTCAGTAGGGCTCATTCAGAATACAGTGGCACACTCTCTGGCATCTTTTTTCAAGCGAGGATAGAAATATGCTGGTACTCTGTTGAACTGAGTGGGAGTGCTACACTCTCTGCTCAGAACATTAAACCATGAAACCACTTTGTTAGTTACATATGTACGCTGGCCATGAAAAACCAGCCCCCACAGGATGATAATGGTGAAATGGGAAACTCCGTTTGAATCCTCAAATTTAGGGAGCTGGTCTCCCACCTGCCAGGAGAGGACTTAACCACCAGGTCATTCTCATGTGTATTTGGTTTCTTATGGGGTAGGAACATTGGTTCCTTGGCTTCCTTGTGGGTTGATTACTGGTTTATGGGGTAGAATGATGGCTTCCTTAGTTCCCTGGTATCCTCTGGTGTCTAGGAGTTTAACCTGCAAACCAAGTTCCTGTGAATTCCAGTTCAGTACACCTGTAGCTCAATTTGCCGTTTTCTTAAATTGACAAGAGAAACACTCATGTTCAGTTTAAAGTCAGTGTGATTGGAAATCATGAACTCTTATGCTGTGAAAGGGAGATCAATCTGCAAAAGGTAGAATATTTGCTTTAAAACTATTTCCAGTCTCTTGTCAATAGTGTATGTTGTACATTCAGGCGTATTTCCCTGAACCATAACCTGTCCCATTGTAGTAGAATCCTTTCATAGCTGTAAGAACTAGAAAAGTTCATAATGAAATCTGAGATTCTGGAGATAGGGGCTACAGTAGGATAGGATTCTGTGGCAAGTCCAGTTACTATAAAACTCAGATGCATTTTGGGCCATGTATATGTTCTCACATACCCTTTCTGCATGGCATGTGGCTAAATTTAGGTGTGAGTGAGAGCAAAAGAATTTGGCTACAAACATTTTTAATTCTTGGTGCTGTCTTGCAGTAGAGATGGGAGAAATTCTTGGGACACATTTTTGCAAACAGTGGGCCAGAGCTCAGCTTGCACCAGCAAGTCTGAGCTTCCACATCTGAATCTTGTCAGGTCAGAGCATGAGCAGCGACACTGGGGTCTGCCAAGGCACGTGGCATTTTATGAGGGTCATCTGCTGTGTGGTTTTCTGAATTCTCAAATCCAGCATGGTTGCATAAACCACTTTTGCATGAATTATATATTCTCATCCCCCTCTCTCCCCCCAATTGCAACTATTTACAAAAACATTTGTTGACATTTATTCTGATCTCTTTTCACTTGTTAAATCAACAATCTCCCCTTTCCTTTGTCTACAGTGAGGGTGTCACAAATATGATGAGACATATATTTTGATTTTTTTTTTCCCTTTAAGAATATTTTTCTCCCCCTTCCTTCTTGTTGCTTAGTTTGTCACTCTTCCATATTTTTCACCTTGGTGTTTTGACTGCAATAACTTTTCCTAATCCCATTGTGGTTCTTTTATGTAGTACTTCAAAAAACAAAACACAATTCAAGGTGAATTTTTGACTGTCAAGGCCTTCAGGGGGGTTTAAAATTAAGCAAAACGTGTTCTCCCTTTCTTAGGAGGTGCTGCCATTTTGAGGCACGTTTTGAGTCTATTTCTTAGTGAATATAGAAGGTGTGGAGGATACTTCATGGCACACAGGACTTTAAGAAATCTTCCTTCTGTTCTTGCAGGAAAAAAAACAAAGTCCGAGAAGGATGACAAATTAAAACAAATTAAGGTAAGAAGTGACTGTTTAAAAGTGTGAGAGCTTGTGAAAACAATCTGTTGCAATTTTTTTTTAATAGCCTCAGCAGTATATTGTGGTGGATATTTGCAGATCTCTCATGCTTGTGGTTTGGTTCAGTAGCTACAGTTACATTGGATGTTTGGGTTTTTTTTAAAAAACGTGAATGCTGTTAGAGGCCTGACTGACGTCATCAGTTGACACAGCCCTTGTGTTGCAACCCCTGGAGTTTGGAAAACTGGCAGCCTCAGCAATGCATTTGCCATTTGTTTGTCTGTAGTAGAAATACAGTAATTATGGAAGGAATGCTTCTGAACAATAGAGCTACCTTTTGGAGCAATTAATTTCTGTGTGTTAGACATTGGAAATTCATTTTCATTTAGATGAGGGGGAAAAGCTTTGTCAGAGCTGCACATTCCTTCTCATGATTTGTAAGCCAGAAGACCTCAGTTGAAAAGCTCATCAGTTGCTTTCTGCCTGTTCAGAGCATGGACCCAAACGG